CTTTAGACGAGCTATTTCCCACGGTGTTAGTGTCATCTGGGGTGAGGATTGTCAACATTGTCAATAGCTGCAAATATCTCTTCACTGTGATTGACAAAACAATTCTCTTTTATTGTTCTTTTAGTGAAAGTCTGCTTACTTTTTCTTTCATCTGATGGTTTCAAACCCTGTCCTTGACAAAAACAAACTGCAGAGCATTGTTAAAACCTGCTTGAAAATCACAGGTGTCAAACTGAGAGACCTGCATTCTCTGTGGGAGGAGCAGGTGCTGAGCAAAGCAAAGAGTCTCCTGGCTCAGCTCCTCCATCCTCTGGCTCCTGGTTTTGTTACGATGCCTTCAGAGCATCAGTTTTATCCTCCTGTATAAAAAACAAATCACTAATTTTGTGTTTTCTGTTATTAAATTGCTGAATTCTGATGGTAGTGTTTTTTGTTTGTTTGTTTTTTTGCATTAAAAATAACTTTTGGACCATTAAAGTTTTCTGAATCTGAATCAACAAAAAATCACCAATGAAAACTTGCATGTATAGAAGTGGTAATCTTAACTGTTCTTTTCAATTCCATATAGAATAAAAAAGTAAAATAAAAATGAAATTCTCTATATTCTATCTATGTCATATTGTGGCATGCCTTTCTTCTGAAACATATTATTAAACACATTATTATGATGTTGAAGCTCAAAGGAACAGAGCCTCAGAATAATGTTTGTCCAAAACAGACTGCAGGTATCTCCAAAAACAAACATCAAAAGCAAAGTGTGGGACCAAAGACCAAACAGAGGACTTCATGGAAAAAGCAGAGCATGTGAAAGTCAGTCCAATCAATATTTACTGCAACAATAGAAGGGGTTATAAAGTGGAATTTGGGAGGTGCTGCAACCACTTTGCCATATGGCAAGACATGAGTTGGGGTATGGATAAGTTCATAGGTTATAAGTGTACTGCTTTCCAGATAGAGATGACTTATGCAGGTTTTTTACCCCACAATAAAGCAGAGGGACTGCCAGTCCTCCAAAAGCAAAAAAAATAAATAAATAAATAAAATCAAAAATAAGTCAACAAAACAGATGTCATTATAGAAATATCGTTTATCTAGATTTTAGAGAATCATAAAGCAAGGAAATACATGATGCGCTTTGAATGAAATGATTTGAATCAGCAGGTTTTAGCCTATGGTTAAAAATAGTAAAAGGGCTAAGCATAATAGTGACCGATAGACATATTGAGACATATAAAGTAACTGATTATCAGTCGTTGTATCACCATTTTATGACATGTGCTACACAACTCAACTAATCTAATCTAAAAAGACATTGCTGCCTATTGGTTCAAATAATTATTAGTTCCTGCATTAGTAGCAATAACTATTTGTAGATAAACAAGCCCCCGTCAATAAAATCCCTTACTTGAACACAAGGGTCTTTCTTTGACAACTCAGTCTGAGGAAACCAAGTTGAGTGACCTTTGCCCCGCCCCACCTGACGAGGCTCATTAAATCAATCTTCTGCTGCTGACGGGAGGATATTCTGTGCCAAACCATCCTTGACCCATTAAGGTTCATTAGCCTCTCTGCTGATAAACACAAAACAGAGGGAAACAAGCAGCTAGCATGCTAACAGAGAGGAGTGGGCCATACTGGCAAAGTGAAAATCTCAGTCAATGTGCTGAATGTCGCAAAAGTGAATGAACTGTAAAATTAGCCACACGAGTACATATACAACATTGTTTGTGGAAATGTATGTAGAGTATGTACAGTTGTTACCTTTAATTAAGTTACCTTTAATGTATTCAATTACAGGCATTTTAATGCCATTTTTTATTGTGAAACATTAGAGGCAAAGCACCATCTCCATATTTTCTTGATAGATTATGTACTCAAAATTCAAATTTAATATAATATCTTCAAAACAACAATTTAAATATTATAGGACTATACAGTGTCACTAACATCTACCAAGCCATGCATTCTGCTGGCCTAGTTGTTTATTATTCTCGCTCTGTCTTTCATGTCACTTTGATAGGAGGTATAATCAGAAACATTGGGGTCACTTTCACCTCTCACACTGGCTCTGTGCTTTTAAATGGGAGCGTTGAGAAAAGGCTGGTGCTGCACTGATTATTTCCTCTGGCTCAAGCACACTGAGGCTATTGAGTGGTGCCCCCCTCGTACTCTGACTGCACACCTTTCATATTTTCTACGACCCACAGACGTCTGCTATGGCGCACATATGGACTCTCTGAAAAACACTGCATGGGGGAGAATGTCCTCGGTCAGACTATCAATAGGCAATGGCTCCAAAACAGCCGCTATTCATGGATATCAGGCAAATGATTCCTTCCTGAGTTGAAGGATTTTGTGATGATATTTACCCATTCAAAATATATTACAATTTTATATGATTTGTACTACTGGTATAACAGCAGAGGATCTTTGCTGTGCCAAATCTGTGAAATCAGGAAAGAATCCTTATGCCCGAAACCCATGAATAGTCAGGGCATTTCAGATTTTAGTTTGAGATTTTAAAATCAAGACTTAGTTCAATTTATTTAGCCCTACATTTAAAGTAGTAAATGAAGCAAATAAATTATTTAAGTACATTTCAAAATCAATTTTCTTTTATGCTTGTTGTGTGGACAACCTTTGGGGGTCCCAGCCCACACTTTGGGAATTGCTGTCCTAAAACAAAGGTGTGTAGATGTTGATTGTACTACTCAGATAAAGGTATTTTACATCTCAGCTTTTTGTAAGTCTTCAGCAAAAAAATACAATCATATCTGCTGTAATGATTTAATAAAACATGCAATTTTCCACTCAATAAATTTTGATTGCAAGTATGATGGTCTACCCAACAATCCAAGACTGAAATAGAAAGCACCGTGAAGCAAAATGACTTATAATTACCATAGCATAGTAACATGTAATTAGTTTTTCTTGTGTAATATACAAACTTTAACCCAATACTGTTTCAACAACACATTTTACCAAACATCGCTGACAACTACACTTCTTTCGTAACCAGACATCTGGCCTCCAACCCAACAGTCAAATCAATACACGGCACTAGCAGACTAGATTAGATGGTGATTTCAAAAGCCACAGGTATTTTTGCAACCTTGTAAAAAAAAAGTTTGAGTGAATTTTCCTGAAAAGACGCAGGACTAAATTCAAAAGCATCCAATCATCTCCCAGCTTCATCGAATCCAAAAGGCATGGCTTTAAAGTGACAGTAAATTGACTTCTGTGTGAATTTCTTGCTTGTACTCTAAAAAAGGCCTGTCAAGCACTATGACGTTTTCAGGGCAAGTCGGAGGCGAGATGAGAGCGGAGGGTGCACTATAGAGGTGGTGAAGAGGAGACAGAGGGAAGGGGGTTGAAGGGGGAATGGAGAGAGAGAGAAGGAGAGAGAGTGAGAGAAAGGGGCATATAGAAACAATAAGAAAGAAGGGATGGAGAGAAATAGAGAATGAGTGAATAAGAGGGAGAGATGGAGAGAGGGAGTGAGTAAGAGGGAGAAAGAGATTGACTTGTAACAGAACTTCATTTTGGATTAAATTTCATTATCACCTCGTGCTATTTACAAAGAAACAACCTGAAGTATTTACATTACATAATAACATACTATTTACATACTAATTACACAATTTAGAAAAACAAAGAAGGGAGGGAAAGAGCGAGACAGAGAGAGAGGGGGACAAAGAACAGGAGGGACAAAGAGATAGACGGAAAAATGGAGAGTGGAGAGGGAGAGAGGGAGATATGAGAGATGAGAGGGGAAAGGGTGGGAGAGAAGGAGGGAGAGAAAGAGAGAGAGATAGACAGAGAAATATTTAAGAGATGGAGAGGGAAGAGAGAGGAGAGGGAGAGAAAAAGAAGGAGAGATGGAGAGAAGGAGAGGGGAGCTGTGCATGGCTGAGTCTCTACAAGGCTACGGGATACAAAGCATGTCTCCCCGGCTCCCCGACCAATTACTAACACACACATTGATTCGGGAGGCGACGAGGTGTGGAGAACACGAGACAGGAGCGAGAGCAGCCGCGAGCCTTACACATTAATCTATACACCAGCAGAGCACAAACTTTTCACACCGATGACCATTATATTGTTTGGATTCATCTTTAGTGTCTTTAAATGTGTCTTAAAATGAAAATTGGGAACACACAGGGAATTAAGGTTAAACCATACGTCCAGGTTATCCAGGTATACTTCAGAATTTAACCAAGATTCAAGTCTGACATTGCTCAAGTATGAACAATGTCAGACCGGAATCTAAAGAAGAAATAATCTGACTCTGAAAAAAAAAATTAAAATACCAGGTCTAAACTAAGTCTAAACTAGATTTAAATGTGGGCTAAACCAGGGCAAATGCCCAAGGCAAATCTGGACCAAGTGGAATGGTATACCTATAAAAAATATCTAGCCACAAATAAATCAGGAATTCAAGAATCAAGAATTATGCATAAAATAGTGCACAATCCATAAAAGAACTTAATCGGTTATCAAAAATTTGCCTTATTTCAAAAGTTGTCTGCATATCAATAGTGTATCTTGAGAATCATCATCTATTTCAAACAAGCTGCAATTTCATAAAGCCTATATCAACACATTTACAACAAGGGCTGCAAAATATATTTAGCATTTAGCAAATTACAAAGCCTTGCAAATATTTATGTAATATGTAATAAAATATGTGATCTTAATGTGAATAAAACCTGCCCACCCTGTAGTTTAAAACTCAAACAAACTCTTAAATGCATAGGATTTGTGTAGTACTTAGCAGTTAATATTTTAGTCTTCTCTCAAATATTGATGTTCCTGGACATGTTTAAAAGTGAACTTTGAGAAAAGTCTTATTAAAAAATGAATCACCAATCTGATCACAATCACGCTTGAAATGTAAATTGCAATTAGATATTTTTCCAAAACTGTTCAGCCATGTCAGTTAATTTGAAAGGTACAATCCTGGGGACATACAGTGGAATAGCTGAGAGGCAGGCAATTACCTGGAGGTCGAAGAATTTGCTATATCTTCTGTAGATGATGTGGGAAGTGTTGTCGGAGTAAGTTACGTTGATGACATAAACCTGGAAAAGAACAAAAAGGAGTTACAATAACAGCCACAATTATTGGTAGTAATATGCCTATTAGTGGAGCTACAAGCAAGCTAATTACCACAGTTACAGATGGCTTATAAATGACTAACAGATGATCAGACTAATGGGTTTATTGTTTTGATCATGTCATTTTAAAAGGTTAATGTAATGCGCTCACAACACTGCATAGTCACACTAGAGGTGGGTGCAATACTGTCAACTAAATATGGTTGAAATTGGTGTTTTTAAAATGATTAATAAAAATGAGTAGATTCAAGATGGAGATGTCACTTGCTTGGCCTTTTCCTTCCTACACAAACTGAAATAAGAAAACTAGAGCTATGAGACATACCACACACTTTTGAAGGACTGTAGAAAATATTGAGTAACCCGATGAGATGCATCATCTTACCATAATTAGCCTGAATTAATTCTATCAATCTTTGCTCTAAATGTACACTATGTAACCTTTCCAACACCGGCTTGTCCCCGTGGAGATGATGTTGCTTTCCCTGGAATGCTCCACAGGCATGTCATGTAACTTGGTCTGGTGGCATCACCTGTGTATCTCTCTGGAGATACATACATTTACGTTTACGTACGTAAATATTTCAGGCCAAGCAATTAGCATCTGCATGGAAACAAGCAGGTAGACACCAAAAGTTACAAAGTGCACCTTGAAAGGGCTTGTACCCAGTTATTTTCCCACATATTTGAGCAAAATTTGTGTTGCCCCAGTAAGCCTACAGATATGTTGTAAAACATAAGGTCAAAATAAGTATATAAGCTGTGTACTGTGTGCATCTAAGTGCTTTAGTCCAATAATCAGGAAGTGCGCCTAGTTGTTGATAGCTTTACTGTCACTGCAAAACTCTGCTGTGGTCTTTAAAAAGTGTGAAAAGCACTAAACTCATCACTGTGAATAATTAGTATGCTCGCAATGTGTAAGGTAAGTGAGGAATAACTTTGAACCACAAAATGCTCTTTTTTTTATGTTTTTAAGACAGTAAATCATTTTTACTTTTGTTCAAAGTATTTATATTAAATCAAAGGATACTCTTATTGTTTCCTAATGAATATACAGGATAACTGCCAAAGTATCCAAAATATGTTCACTACTAGTATCAAAGAGAAAGAAATTGAACCTAGCTCTATATTACCCACCCCTATGTCCCCGGCAGTGGAAGAATCCAGTAGCCGATTCTAGACAAGGTAATAAATTTGTCAGAAGTTGGAGGTTAGAGCGGTGACATCACTCCCATCCATCATCACAATTGGCCGTTAGCCTTTAGCAGGAGCTGGAGATATGCAGCGGCCCTGAGAGGCTGGATAACATGGCCATGGAGTTCATTTAAGCTTCAGAGGAGCTAAGTGCGACCCCTAATACAATAAAGCAAAGATAAGCAAGGTAACTGATCCACAGCCATCAGATAGGGAAAAAGCAAGTGGGATTTCAGTACAGTGGAAGATAGGGAGATGTTTAAAAGAAATATGATAGTAAATTATTTAAGTAGATACATTTTGGAAGAGATCCATTATTGTGGGTCAGCAGTTTGTTAGATTAAAAATGATGTAAGTTTGTGTAAGAGCAGTATTATTCATCTTGTTTTAGTTCAAATATGCAGACAAATTAATCTATATAGTAGTACAATTAGTAGTAGTACAAGCTAGGCTATATAGTAGTTGCATTAAAGTAGTGTACTGTATAAGTACTGTATCTGTCCAAGTGTGGGCCTTCATTGGGGTACACCCTTGATAATAATCAGACAGAAACATTTAAAGAGCTTATAACTGGACTACTGAACTTTATAAGGATGCAACAATACGACAGATACTGTTATCAGATCTCAGCACCAATATTGAAAATTGTAGTAGACTGGATATTGGATCCAAGATATAGGTTCAGCCGATCCCATTTTAGCCTATAAATTGAGGTAATAAAACAATTTGCTGGCCAATGTTGGGCCAAAACGTCTCATCATATTAAACCTGATAGTATGTAATTATTTTAAATGATAAATAACAGTCATAAAAAACACTTTTACCATAGGCTCTTTTGTGTTTAACTAAGGAAATAAATCATATTTTCAGTCTCTGCACTGGTATCGGCAGATATCAGGTATTCGCTGATACTTAAAGCCAAAGTATCGGAGCATCATAGGCTTAACACTAAATACTGCCTAGATATTAAGTTCTCAATATGGACTAACTCAAATGAAGACATATGTGAATACAATTTACTCTAAATTTAACTAATCTATAGATCACAATTATGTTTACAATGGACATAAACCTGTCCCTCACATACCAATATAATCCATTTACCTAAATCAAAAGCAACTCAAGAATCCAGGTAAAACGCAACACTAAACTTCCAAAACAAGTTTATTGTTGTGACCCAATTTTTCACTATTGTTTGTACAGCAGCAGGAAATGGCCCATGCTGCTTTGTTGTTACTGTATCAGAGAAGCACATGGAAAACAGACATCTGGAGTGTACTTGACATAAAGCTAAAATAACTCCTAAAGTCAGTCTGAATGAAACAAGACGTAGACAGGCTGTCAATGCGCTGCAAATACAAATCACTTAGCATCAAGTCAGTCCTATCCGATGTGAAGTGAAACAGTAGCTTCGTTCAGAGGAAAATACTTGGACATTTCTTCAACTGTGTCTCTCTTTGTCACAGACTCTAAGCTAAAGAGGAACAGTCCTTTTGTTTTTGCACTTTTTCCACTGCAGTATAATTCCATGGATATTATATTGCTTTGACAAGTATTTTCCCCAGTATAGCATTAAAATTCTCTTCAGAGAAAAACACTGAAGTTACTGATCAGGTCTGTGGAGAGGCAACCCACTGACTGTTTCCCAAGTTATTTTTGAGCTACAAAACACTCACAATGAAATCAGTGATAGAAGATACATTTAATGCCCTATTGTGAGACATTCTAGGCAAAATTAAAATGCTATTATATGAAAAGGTCAGGATCCGTTACCTGCTTGTCTCCATGGAAATGATATTGGTTTGTCTGGCATGTCCCGGTATGGCATTAAATGTTTCCATCTTGAATTTACTCAATAACATGGGTTTTTATTTACCTAAAAACATGCATTTTTACCATTAGTGAGCCTGCCTCTCCAACAATTTGACATGTAGCTTGTCACCTACTGTCTCCATAGAAATAAATATGTGTAATGCCAAACTGTGGCACATTCAAGGCAATGTTTCCAAGGAGAGAAGAAGGTGACAGACCCCCCACCAGAAAAGTTACACAGTACACCTTCAAAATAGTGCATATGGCATTTTTTTCTATGTAGTGTATTGTCCTATAATATGGTAAGTTATAACATGACAGTACGAGCTAACAGCATTCCCCAGCACAGCAGAGGGTTAAAGGCCCTGTTATACTTGGCCCGGGTTCAGCTGCAGTTGGAGAGGAGCCACTGCGTTCTGTTCAGTGCCATGCAAACAGTGCTACCGGCATCACAGGCTGTCACAGTCACACTACACTGTCAAATTTGTTCTTAGCACAGCGGGGCGTCTGCTGCGATTAGCTTTGGCATTTATTGCTTTCAAAATGGGCTCCCTGGGGTGCTGCACTGCTACAAAATCCCAAAAGTCACAAAAATGTCTACTACACCGGCCGCTGGTATTCTTACTAAGGGGCTAACATCTACTTTGCATATGCCAAAGGTGGTGTTTTTACTCATTAACAAAAATTTACACATAAAATAAGCTCATTTCCATGTCTTGCAGTGTCCTTAAGTTGCATTGGGTTTTATGTAATGCTGTAAGTCATGCATTCGTTTTGGCAGTGCTCATTGGCTACACTGAAAATATCCCAGTGCTATTATTTATGAGGCAGGCCACAATGGTCTGGACTAAATGACAAGACAAAACCTCCAGGCAGATAAAAGAAGGGCATATTTCCAGTAGACATTTCTATTGTCAGTGCTGTGATAATTGGAATTTTGGGTCAGTAGAGTTGTAAATTATTGAATTAAAATCAATCAGTGTTGATGTGAAGAGGAAGATCTACTTTTACTTCTACTACTACCACTACCCCTACTACCACTACCACTACCGCTACTACTGCTACTACTACAACTAGTACAACTACAACTACACTACTACTAAGACTACTACTACTATTAATATGACTACTAGTATTATGACTATGATTACTAGTGATAGTAGCAGTAGTAGTAGTAGTAGTAGTTCAAATACTGACTGCTACCACTAGTAGTAGTAATGCAAATACAACAATATTACTTCAAATAGAACAAGTACTACAACAAGTAGGTGAGTAAAAGTAACTATTTTCCAACATTCATACCAGAAGAAAACATGTCCTAAAATGAGATTGTGTTTAAGGCTTTTGGACTCGGTCTCAAGCCCAAAAGCAGATGCATGTGATGAAAAACCACAGTGGAACACCCAACCAGCAGTATCCATGGTCTAACCAAATCCCAAAATATCACGCAAAACCTTAATGCCTTTTCATTACCAAAAAGAAGCTACTGAAATTAAGATGAGAATGATTCTTTAAGTTAAATGAACACTGATAGTTGGAGCAAAAGTGCCAGTTTTGTGCCTCGGCTAAGGAATTGCACACAGTCATGCAACCTCTAAAATAGTCCGTCATGCTGCGGTCTGACTCAGAGTATATCCAAATGCACCCGCTGGAGATTTTCAGGAAAAAATGTGGCTCAGTAAAATACCATTTAGGAAGTAATGTGGCTGCCATATGTTCATATACAAAATTAGCACAATATACATTATGTAAAACTAAATATATGAACTGCTTTGAAATAACATTAGAAAAATAGGCATAACAGAAACTATTACATTGAGCATGTTTAGTTGGTGATAAAGAAAAACAAAAAACACTAATGACAACTATGACTACTAGCAACTGACTACTTCTACTACACAACAACAACTATTGCTACTACTCAACTACTGCTACTACTACTCAACACAAAGTAATTT